CAGCGGTCACGTCGTTTCATTCGTGCCAAGGGCTTACGTTCGCCCAGCTTCGCAGACCGCGTACACGGCGCCAGCACTCGTCGTAGAAACCCGCATACCGCCTCGACAACGATCCCGCAACGTCTTCTGTGCACACGGCAGGCCCGTGTGCTCTCAAATGGTACCGTCGGGGGAGGGTGCTCAGGTGATTTCACCCTCAGTGATTAAATGGCGCTGCCGACGGACTCGCCTGGATTCGGACAACGGTGTAATGTAAAGCATGTTTGAATAACACATATTTGTGCTCGCAAATGTGTTCAGACACCTTCCTCGAGGTGTTTAGACGCACTCTTGCCCTCGGCACAATAGGCGACGTGCTCTTGGGATGGAACACGAAGGTACACAACCTGCTCTTCTACTTCGCGCCGGAAACCTGCTGGTCTCTTGCACGTCGAGAGGTGCTAACATAGACCCTCGCCGCGACCACAATTTCCGCGCTCGCGCTCACGTAGCATCCAGGCACGTCGACCAGAGATGCACTGTTGGAGCGCGAGATCTGGGGTCCGAAAGCATGTATTTCCGACGCGAAACAGTGGGTGGAGAACCACACAGTGGGCGGCCGCGGCGTCGCGTCCATGTTCGTGCCCATGGCAGGCCGGAGCAAGCATTCGCACCCGATGCACCGGCCCCCGGCGAAGAAAACGAGCGCTGTGAGCTCCCAAACACCGACAATGCGACGCGCCTCCACGCAGGCGCGCCGAAGCTACGGACGGGGCGCAGGGAGATTAGTGTCGCGAGCGCAGTGTGCTGTGCCATAGACGTGTGATTTGATTCGCACGATCACCCGACATTCGCTCATTGCACGCATGAGATGGGCGGGTGCGGGCATGCACGCCGAATGCCTATCCCCAGAGGGTGGCTTGTAACTCGTAAGATGGTGTGGATAGTGCGGAGGCCGGACACTGGATACGTGCGGGGGACACTTGTCGCCATGATGATGACCGGGACATGGGACACAAGATGGCGGCGGAGACTCGAATGAGGGTGCTCCGGAGGGAGACCCATGGAGACGGCAGAGCCTGTGGCTTTCGAAACAGGGCAGCACGGACGAGGCCTGTGATGTAGCACTGGCAACGAACAAGTGCGGCACATAGCGAGATCGCCGACAGGACGTGAGAGTAAAGGTGTTCTGTGGCAAAGAGGATTAACTTGGAGCAAACATATTCCGAATTTGACGCACCGGACGGGGCGCTCGCCGCTCACTTTCGCTTGCGGTGACCCTGCCGCCGTGTCGCATCCGCAACGGCTCCGCCTGCATGGAACCGCAATTGCATCCTGTGGTGCGCGAGCGACTTGATGAAGAGCAGATGCAAGCGTCATCGCAATTTCTCGAATGTGCTCGCCGCTCTCTGCTCGCGTGCTCCTTTCGTTCTTTACTCCTGCCTTCTCTGTTCGACGAGTTCTGCCCGGCTCATACGCCCCTTCTGCGTGGTCTGTGGGCTGTGGGTCTCGGTAGGTAAGTAGACGCCACCATCTGGTAGTTCAGACTTCACTCACACTCGCGCTTGCAGGTCTCCTGCATCGTTCGGCCCGCGATCGCCTCTTGCCTGGGTCCGCTCTCTGAGTTCGTCCCTTCGAAGTAGTACGGTGAGAAACCTGTTATTGTCAGTGTCTTGCAGTTGTCTATAGTGCTCACCTCAGCTCTTGCCTACCGGGAAGGCAGCATGACTCGCCAGCGCCCCGCAAAGTCCACTTTCCACACGCTGGGAGACACCGCCCGCGGTGCATACGCACGCAAGGAGATGCAGCTGCGGAGCGAGGTGCGAAAAGGGCTGAAGCAGAAATTAGGTAAGTAACTCGCCGGATACGGAGGCGCAGGCAGCTCGTACTCACGTATGTATGAGTGAGACGCGTCGGCGACGTGGACCCCAAGGTGTCGATGCATTGGACCGTGAGCGGCCTCTGTCATAACATCTACCTTCGTCACCGCCTCAAACTGGTCGGGTGGCCGAAGGGGATTGTTTTCGGTGACTTGAGCAAGACGGTGACCGGGCTGGACCAGATCTCGATACTCGTTGAGGCGCTACGGAGCGGGGATCTCACGTTCGAGCCTATCTCGCAGGCCGAGTACGATGCCGCTAAGCAGAACCCGCTTCTCGCGGCGCCCACTCACCTGAACTGTGGCCTGAGGCCGCACCCGAGCCGCGACGACATTGGGCGGCGGCGAGGGAGCAGCAAGGTCGACCCGGCAATCTACCCGCCTCGACATGTGCGAGATGGGCCGAGGTCGTCGAAGGTGGTGTCGGACGAAGCAGAGGCGAGGGCAGAAGGGCCGGAGGAGCCTCACGAGTTGTTCAAGGGCGGGCAGCTGTACGCGGGGCCGCGTCCTGGCCGGTTGCAGATCTTGAACTGACGGCGATGGGGTGTTCACACAGACCAGCAAATGTTCTACTATACATTAGACAGTTGTAATACGACGTCCCAGAGCGAACAAGAGGCGGCGCGTCGAGCGAGGGACTCCGCGGTCGCAAGAGATGGTGGTGGACATGAAGGAAGACGCGCGCGCGTGCATTCCTAATCGGGATGAGATCCGCGCGGCGGTGCACTCACATCTGGCGTCTATTCTGCCCCTCCTCTCCCGCACGTCGTGCATTGCTCGTCCGAGCCCTTTCCGGCATCGCCGGCTTTCTGTTCATGATATCAGCCCTTCCAGCAGTGGTTCTAATGTTTGAACGAGGTGACAGCGCGTGCTGGACTACGCGGCAGTGCCAATGGCGACTAAGTGAGCTCTAGACCACCGGGAGGAACTGAATCGGCTGCGCGTGTCGCGTATTTGCATGCAACGGCTGCGGAAAGAATTGGTGCGGTGTACAAGATGTTCTGATGGATACCCAAACGTCCTGTCCAGCCCCATTTGTGCTGGGTCGGGTGAATATCTTGAGGAGCAATGTACCTGCTCCTGAAGGTGTTTACCCACCTTGCTCACAATGTGGCTGAAAGCAGAAGCTTTGTGGCTGAAGCGACTTGAGTAAGAGCCCAGTGATGAACTAAGATTAGAGCAACGTAAGGCCAAAGTGTTAAGCGAGAGTGCCATTCAAGCAAGCGGGTGATATTTCAGTACAAATGACCATCAGAAATTACTTGCCAGCCTGATCGGATGCGCTTAGCTGGAGATCACACATCCCTCTCAGACGTGAACTGACTTAGGTACAGGCGGGTCGCTCGTGTGGCCTCCCACGCTCCCGTCTCCCTCTCCCATGCCATCTCCTCCTCCTACCCAGGGTCTCTCCTCAGCTGGCACCTCCTGATATCTACTGCAGATGGTGAGTAGCAGGCATCTCCACCACTGTGAGATCAGCACACTTACCAGTTCGGACAGCAAGGTTATCAGCTTGGGGGCCTAGGGATAGCATGAGCAGATGACGGCGGTAAGATCACATTCGGACATATTTGAAGGTAAGTGTATATATTTCCACAGTGTGTGTACATGGCATACTCACAGGACGCAGGACACTCTGACATGGTACCACCGACACACCATTTTCGCATGCTCACGTCGTGTGCATAATCCCACCCGCGCGGGACATGTGCACGGCCGCGCCTCATCACGCAGGCCCCTGCCACTCACCGACGGTCGCGTGCATCCCGCCACAACGCTCGTACGCGCCCTCCCTTCACACGACGGGCGAGCCGTGAACGGTTCGGCGTCTCGTTCCCGCAGCTCACGCGGCGTCCGGCGCATCGGCCGCGCGAAGATCCCACGCCCACCGCGAGGAGGAGCTGGGTGGAAGAGGCTGGCGACGGGGCGTCGGTTGCTGCTCGCGCCCGGGCGCGGTCCGTGGGCGCCTTCGGACGCGGGGCCGCGGAGACAACACAGTACCACTGCGGCTGTGCAGGAGCGAAAGGTCGGGCGAGGTACGCGGGGGCGCGGGTCGATCGTGGATCTCGCGCCGCTGCTGCGACGCATCGACGGGGCATGCGCCGAGGAGACGGTACGCGATGCGGGTATGTTCTCGAGAGGGCGTCAACGCCAGGGTGGTCATCGTGGTGCGCGGGGCGCGGGGCACTCATAGTCGACTGTGTGCCAGCGGGGACAGAGACGTACCGCGAGGAGGTGGCATGCAAGGCGGAGGCGGTCAAGATTCGCAACGGTGAGACTGGCCACTTACCTTTCCTCGGAGACGGGGGCGGGCCGGATCTGCAGGGAGGTCGTGAGGAGGGCCGAGGCGGAAAACGTGAGAGACGGTGCGCACTCTTCCTATTGATTCTCGACTCGATGCCAGACTGAGCGCGCGCGGCCAGCTAGCCTGGAAGCCAGGATGGCGGAAACGGACCGGGAGAGGGCGGCGGGCCGGAGTACGGGAGGGGGGAGGGAGAGACTCAGAGAGATCGCGAAAGGCTGTCGAGAGTCGAGAGTCAAGAGACGGATCGCCGCTCTCTCGATGTCAGGGCCAGCGCCTAATCCAGCCGCGGCTACGGTCCCAAACGCGCCTTCGGACGTGCGCGCAGCACGTACGAGTGTGTCTTAGTGTCTGAGGGCACCCAAGAAGGCCGAGCGCGGGGTGAGTGCTGCAACTTCTCTTGATTTCCACGGCCGAGGGCTGATTTCGCGAAGAGGCAGAGTTCGGGCGCGCGCAAGTACGAGCCGCAAGCAGAGGAGAGCCGACGCCGCAGGGGGGCGCGAAGTCGAGTACATCAGACAGACAGACGAGTCGCGGGGGTGCATGTCGTATGTAATGTACAGTAGCACGTCGTGGTCGAACGCAGAGAGTCCCGCGCCCGCGCTCGCGAGCTGTGTGCCCGTAGAGTGTAGACGCCCGCCCGCGCGCCCGCGTTCTCCAAGTACGCACTCTGCGCGCGGCCTCCTGTGCTGCATACGACTTCACCGCACTGTGCAATATATCCCCACTAGGCACTCCGTGTACTATACAACCCCCATTCAACTCCCTTACCAAGCTGCTCTCTCCGGTACTCCCATGTCCGCGAGCAAGGCGATTCCAGCGTCTACCGTACACGCATGTCTACCTCATCGCGAGCGGGAGCACGATCTTCTCGCCACAGTCCGCGGTGCCGGGCTCGCCTCTCGCGCGCACCAGCACCACCCCAACAACCCCGAACTCGCCCGCCCGGTCGGCGCTATCCTCGTCCCTCCCGAGCTCCCCCGGGTTCGCGCGCTCCTCCACGAACCTGCACGGCAGCTCGAACAGCATCGGCTCGCTCGCGCTCCCCGTGACGCTGCCCGCGATCGCCCCCGCCGTGACGCCCCCGCAGCCGTACCGCGACCCGCGCCCGGCGGTGAGCGCGTACTTCACGATCGTGTGTGCGAGCGCGACTGGGGCGAGTCTGACGCGCTTCACGAGCGCGCCGGATGTGTTCTCGGTGAGCCAGAGCTGGGGGTGGAAGTCGAGCTCGCTGCGCGCGGAGGAGTATCTGGAGGTCGATGCGGAGGGCCTGCCTGCGGCGGTGGTGCTGCCTGCGAGGAGGGAGGTCAGTTTGCGGGCGACGGTGGTGCTGGGCGTTGTGTGAGGGGCTTGTATGCGCGTTGTGTCTGTTGTCGAGTTTGCATGAGTACTGTCACTAATCGGTTTGTTGTATATTTTGTCTTGTTTCCTCTTGTATCACGACCCTGACACGATTATTCTTGATGCGCTGACCACCGGCCGAGCATTTTCTCGTACATATACACCGTCCCCTACTGTACATACCGCCGGCCATCCGCACCGCGCGGAAATGAAAAATCTAAACATACACACCGGTGCTTTCAGTTACACAGGGTTCATCGCCTACGTTTGCCCTTGTTGGCATCGAGCACCTCCTCCTTGCGCGTTTCCACACGCTGGAGAAACTCGACCTTCTCGAGGTACCCGCCCCCGCGGCGGTTCGCCTCCAGCTCGTCCTTCACCCCTGAGGTGTCCTCGCCCTCGACGTGGGCTCGCCAGTCCATCGCGGACTTGTCGAGCGTGGTGAGCTTCTTTACGGGCTGCTTCTTCGGGATCGCCGCGAGCGTGGTCTTCGGCTTCCGGGGGCCCGGACGCTTCCCTGGCCCTGACGGTTTCGCCGGAGTCGCAGAAGAGGAGGCAGTGGGGGCAGCGCTCTC